TCTACGGAACAAAAGAAGGCTTAAGGCAAGAAGTAGGACCCGTGTAAATATCGGATCAGCTTTCCAGCGCTGGAGAGAACTTAAGGAGCGGAAGGCCTGTGATCAGACGCCGAGGTTGTTTTGTTTCTTCTCGATAGGTGAGTAACAGCTAAAGTCTGTCTAGTACACTGGACGCGACAAAGCGACCGTTGAAAATCATTTGAAATTTGTGTCAATACGTCATAAATAGAACGCAGCAGCAGTTTTCTGTCGGGGATTTGTCGTGTCGTGCCACATCCAGTGTAGACCATAGATATGTATATATATCTATGGTGTACACAGCATCACTGATTATAATGAGTTCCATTGTATTTTGTCACACCGCGCCGCTCGCGTCTGGTGTAGACAGTAGACACGGTGTAACATTGGTTTTGCTTTGTTTCACAGAACTAATCGTTGCCTGGGTCGTAGCCCAGATCTTTAACCACAGCACCACACCACCCAAACCCTTAGACATGCAGCTTTTTATAGAATCACCACCTTGGCCAGCTGGGCTTTCAGATCTCTGACTTCGACCTCCAGTGATCTCTTCTCCCCCAGTGCTGTGGAGAGAGACGCGTCCTTGGAGTTCAGCAGAGCTTCCAGATCCTTCAGTCTGGCCAGAGCCGATTCCAGATCCGACTCTTTCTTACCATTCCTACAGTCACAAAAATACAAAGAAGGTATTAAAGCAGTTTTTTCCTCTCGGCACACAGAGGAATACAATTATTTCAATTAGATTCAGAATAGTCAGATTATTATATTCATTCATGCATGTTGCGGGGTTTGATTTTGTACCAAAACCAAGGACTCTTTAAAATCTGTAAACAATAACCTTAAGAATCCTCTCTCTGAAACAGAGCAGGATTTGGGCCTCCAACAGTAAATTTAAACCATATGGGTGTGACTACAGTGTTGTTCATTTTTGAAGGAACCATACAAACCTTAATAAAAACACAGAATGCTAAACACTTCAATAAATAAAAGATGACTGGTAGTTTTACTATGCATCAACTGAATTAAGGCAAAGTGAGGTTTGCAGTTTTAAAACATAGAAGGATAATATGGTCAACTCTTACAGTCTAAAACGAGAGTATCATTTATCAACACTCATATCTGTTCTCAGTCAAAACAAGCGTTTAGGTTTAGAGTTCATCTCTGTGCATTCCCAGATCAGATTTCACAAGGCCTGTAAAATAGCTGCTCCAAAATTAGTCATGTGAGTGATTGACCGAACATGGCTTGAAACAATTAAAACTCTGCCACACTTCAGTCCCTAAGGCACCTTTCCCACACACACAACTCCTTCCCAGCAACAAAAGTACGCTCAATGTGCACTCAGACTACAACGCAAGCAAACTAAAACTCAACAGACTAAAGCAAATAACTTCTAGAGTTTGTATTCTCTGCTCTGTGGAGCATTCCATCAGGCCTCCTTCCTGAGAGAAGTAATTCAACCAACTTACGATTCCCAACAACAGAGGATTTGTTAGGTCACATACTTCACTTTACAGCCACATACCTTCACTAAAAGCTTTATGAGGATGAGAACATGAAAAAACGTTAAATGTAGGAAAGTTAACCTCCCTGACTGAGATTACTTAAAGTAATGTATTTGTAAAATAATAGTTTGATGAATAACAGTTTTGAAGAACTGGTTACTGAAATTCAAAAGTACGGAAAAATCTTTTTTTGAAGGGAAGATATATGCGAGAACTTTTGCAGAGAGCCTTTGAGGTAACATTCATCACTATTTCTGAGGAACAGCATAACTGGAACTGAAAAAAAGCGCACAGATTTTTGTATTTTAACTGTTCACGCTACAGGAATAAAAACAAGCACTGAACCTCAGCAGGATACAGTGTTAATGTGGAAAAATTAGCCTAAATCTGCTCATTAAAACTTTTAATGGACACAGAGAGAGGGGAGAATTTACAACTTTAGTCCAGAGGGGCTACAGTGAAGTAGGTGGGTTACAATGAAAGTGTGTAAACAGCGGCATGTTTGTGCTTAGTCAACCGTAAACACACATCCAGAAACATAACCTCTTCTACTTAGGACATTTGGTCATTAAAAACCAGCCCGTTCCTGTCAGCGCCCTAAATGTGCCGTTTTATTCTGGTTGCACAATATTAAGCAGATTGAGCAGAAACAACATCTCACAGTGGAGCAGGCCACATTTGAAGGAAACAATAAAAGTTTAAGAGCCTCATGTGGTCTAATGTTTGTTATTTGTTCTATTATTTTCTATATTTGACATAAAAAAAATTTCTGCCACTGTATTTGTTTTGCTGTTTTAGTTCTCAACATCTCCAGGATCTGTCCACAGGAAGCCAAACCAACCAGAGGCTGTTTAAAGTAGACAATAGGAGAACATGTGTTAGCGTCACTTCTGTTCCGGGTCACATTGTCCTTGTTGACTGAACCAACATGGTCAAAGTTTACACTGCAAACGGTCAACTTTGAGTGAAGGGAGCTAAAGAAAACAAACTGGAAAATAAAGTGTGTTATAGCTAATAAGTTACAAAATAGTACAAAACGACAGCATTTGAAAAACCTGAGTCCTTTAAAAAAAAAAAAAAACTATAAAAGCATCAATTCCAGTAAGTTTTCATTGAAAGTGTGTATTTTGTGTACTGAGTTGTATGTGTGTGTGAGAGAGCGAAAAGGGGAAAGGATTTGGCTTGGCATCTTTGATCCAGTGGAAACATTTCAGGCACAAAAAGAGCCAGTTGAGGGAGAGAGAGAGAGAAAGAGAGAGAGGAGGAGAGGAATGTACCAGGTCGGCCTCCAGCCCCTCTATGAATCACAGTCCTCTTTTGTGACGAAAAAGAAACCCACAAAATAAAGCCCTCTGAATGTTTTGCCATGTTACCAAGGCAAAGTGTCGTGGAAATATTTCACATGTGACCATCTTTGAGAAAACTTTGACCACGAACAGGGTTTGCCAAAGATAAAAAAAAACACACTGGAGCCGAAACCATCCATTAGAAAGCTTAAATTCAAAAGCAAATACATTTTTTCTCACAGAATAAGCATTAATTAAACTGATAGCCATTCATTTTAATGTACTTATTAGTCAAAAAACATAAAAAAGCTGTGGACTATCATGCACACACCCTCAGGTGGGGAAAAATGTGATCCTGGACCACAAAACCAGTCATAAGGGTAAATATTTCAAAATTGAGATTTATACATCCTCTGAAAGCTGAATAAATAAGCTTTCCATTGATGCATGGTTTGTTAGGACAATATTTGGCAGAGATACAACTATTTGAAAATCTGGAATCTGAGGGTGCAAAAAAATCACAATATATAAAGTCGTCCAAATCAAGTTCTTAGCAATGCATATTACTAATCAAAAATTAAGTTTTAATATATTTACAGTAGGAAATTTACAAAATATCTTCATGAAACATGATCTTTACTTAATATCCTAATGATTTTTGGCATAAAAGAAAAATCAATCATTTTGACCCATACAATGTATTTTTGGCTATTGCTAGAAATATACCCCAGCGACTTAAGACTGGTTTTGTGGTCCAGGGTCACAAATAGTCTTGTGTATGACTGCATTCTCTGAATTTTGGACTTTACACTGTCTCTCTAACACTATATTTGTTGCTTCACAAAAAGCACCATATGACAGCCGTCACCTGCAACAGCTGTAGGTTTTGAGAGGAAAAATGACTGTAGGCGTTCATCAAAGCACTTGTAAAGCCATAAAAAGCACATAGTAAAACCGCACAGTCTGACACAACACTTCATCAATATGATAAAGGACTGGAGCCTGTTAAATCAAATCTCTTTTAGCTCAAACAAAAACATTTACTACAATCTGTATTTGCTAAGTCTCAATATATTTGCACAGACTACCAAATGGTTGAATCCATAGTATCTTCAGTCACGTGTTTTATGACCATTTTATGGTTTTATAACTGGACGAAGCTTGTATATTGTTTAAGCTAGGAAATTGTTGTGGAATCTGTTTAATGTCTCAATATTTAAAGTAATTTGTTTCCTAAAAAAATCCTGCCAGATTTGAAGTTGACAACAATAATTTATTTTCATTTCTATTTCAGCATGTTGAAATGCAGATTAGCTGAATGAACAACAGTGAAATTTACGTGCTGCAAGTTTAAGTGTTCCAGGGCATCAATACATTTTACTGTGTTTAAATACATAGTAAAACATATTGGTGTAATACAACTCCTTATACCTAAAGCCCAAGATCTACCTTCTCATCCTCCATTCAGCTCCACAATACACCGATTCACTGCTTTTGATGTAAATGTGACTTGTACTTTCCACTTCTACTATATGGGTGGAGAGGGCACGTGACTAAACAGAATCGTCTCATACAGGGGTTCCCCATTTTCCCACTGCACTATGAATAAACGTTTCCTTTTTAATTGTTGAGGCGACTGACTCACTCTGCCTGGCTGCAGGCCCACCCTCCATGGAGACCGAGTGAAACATACAGAAGGAAAAACGTATGGTCAGAAGGAAAAAGATTGTGACTGAGTTGTATAATATGCTCTAATATAAACATTGACTAAAAATAGAACAATGCAGAACCAGAATTGGCCAGCTGTAATGGTTCAAAATTTGAGAATAACATTAAAACATTAAAGACAAATTTTTACAGAGCCTTACACCAGCTGGGAAAGTCTTGAGTAAGCATGACCTACTATAGACATTATTCATACTACGTTTGTTTTTGTTTTGTTTTTAACTGAGGGATGAGTCTAAATTATTTTCTGTAATTAAGCTTTCCTCTAACACTACCAGTTATTTGATATATACAGGTAGCAGATCTGTTGAAGGACTTTATGTTCCAGGTAGTTGTGCAATTTTTTATATTCAAATTATATCTAAATCATCAAAGCATGAGCAGGTTGGTGCAGATACCCAGAGGCTTCATAGTCTCAACAGATGATTATGGCTTGTCTGGGCTATAGTTGCTTATCTAATACATCTAAATTCATGCTTATTTTATTAACATTACAATAAAAGGTTAAACATAGACATATTAACATGTCTAAATTTTCAGCAGTTTTAGCCCACCACTGTAATTTTTTTTTTTTTGTATTTTGTTTTCTATAAAAATATTGAAATCTTTTATTGAAAACAAAACTGCATAAGACATTAGTTAAAATAGTTTAAAAATTAAGTTTATTTTTCCTACCACATTGACAAATAGTTTTGTCAATAGTTTTGTCAA